GTCCAATACCTTTCTCACCCCCCTTCCCTCCGCTAAGCTTTACAATCAAATTATAACAAAATGCTAGAACTTCTTGAGGTAGACTCAAATACTGACTCTAGTTTTATGTTCACAATAGCGGAATTTATGCAAATTTTTTGAATGTAGCATACCTGGAAGTCAGATAACTAATATTCAATTCCAGTTATACATCATCCCCTAAAATATAAAGGCATAACTCTGTTGTAATTTGATTTATTATTAAATTTGTCTTTTTTCTAATAGATTAAAAAACATTCTTAAGCTCTATCAATTGTCAATTATATATATTATCAAAGTTTAAAAAATGGCAGGAATACCTATTCTCATTTTTATATGTTAGAGTTTTATTTAAATTTTAAAGTCTTCCAATACCATTCTTCTCTAACAAAACCCCAAATTGTCACTGTGATCTTAAGGTGTCTTTGTTCTAACTTCTAAATGTAACATCCAATGTCCTTTCCACCGTTGCTGCCTGGTTGGTTCCCCATTCAGAATGCCTTTTTGGCTTTAGGTGGAAGCACTATAGTATTAGAGAAGCATCTTCAATGCCTTAGCTTCCCTTGGTTTCCCACCACTTCCTCTTTTCCCAAAGTTATTCCCTGTCTAATCATCTGTATATGATTGGGACTTTAATATTAGAGATATAATGGCACATTTTGGTTACATTGTAGTCCTACTTTATGTGACATGGTGATTTTTAATTGACACATAAATGTATCTGATCTAGAAATCCATGATTAAGAAGTTACATTAAGTAAGTGTTTTTTTTTTCTTAAAAAAAAAAAACAAAACAACTAACTACTGTGCTCAAAACAATGGAAAGATCTAATTCTTATTTCATATGTCTTTTTTGATTTATGGTGATTGTGTCATGGGCTTTTTTTCTGATTAGCATTTTTCTTTCTCTCCACTGGATCAGAGGCCTTTGCTGGGACATAGGAACTTTCTGCCAAATGTCTGATACTGAACCCAGAGGGTCCATATGAAAGGAAGAAAGAGATATTTATGAAATTAAACTATTTTTTCATGCAAATTTGCCATAATAAAATTCATATCCTGTCATTAAAAATATACCCTTTTTATAAATATCAGGATTTTTAGGAAGATGTTGGGAGCAGGTTCTCTATGACTAAAAATATAGTTAAACTCTCCAGGTACCCAGGAACTCAGCACTCCATCTCTTGGTTTATTAAATTGTGGACAAAAACTAACCAGGGAGTGTTGTGAAGAGCCAGGTTTCACAAATGGTGCTGCCTACCAAAACCTGCAATTTCTCTTGAATTAGTCCTTTGTTTGTGAGGGATTTTAAACAATAGCATCAGAGAGTAATCATCAGGGCTCTATCTGATAGTCTGAGCTCCCACACTTCCAGTCTTGTAGGTTAGTTTACCTTGTGTGGAATTCAGAGTATTTTAAACAGCCCATGGAGTAAAGCTCTTGATTTATCTACCTGCCCATTATCTTCCTATTGTACTATTTCTCATCAAGTGCATAGCTCTGTTTCATGGTGACATATGGACATCACAGCAAATAATAACAAATGAAAATTCCTCCCAAGTAAAATGCGTCTGTGTTTCTTTTCCTGTAATCATTTTTATTGGCATATTCATTGCATGTGGTGCTGGGTTTCATAAAGTCAATTTATTCAAAAATATTGTGTACATTGAACATACTCACCTCTCCCACAGACCCTCCTTCCTTCCCTTTCTCCTGTACATTAGTCTCATACCTTTCTTTAGTCTCCCCTCTGCTT